ACATCTGAAGAGGTGAGGTTCTTACCCACGAAAGCTTATGCTCCCAGTACTTCTGTTAGTCTCAAAGGTGCCACAGGACCCTCTGTTACTCTATGGGAAGTTATACTTGTATAGGAGGAGGTTAGTTATTGTAAGGGGAAGTTTTTCAAGATGTGCGGTCCCTATCTGGATTCCACACGTGGGCATGCATTTGTGTCATGTGCCTCGGTCTGGAATTTTTTCTAAGTAGTGTCTGTTGACCTGCACATGTGCAGTACCTTCCCTTGTGCTCCCAACCAAGGGCATAAGGTCGATGCCTCTCCAGTTCCTCCTCTTACCACAATGCAAGTGAGTCTGCAGCAGAGGGTAAGGAAGGTGGGTAGTGGAATACAGATAGGGACTACACATCTTGAAGAACTTCAAGTTACAGTAAGTAACCTCTTCTTCTTCAAGGGCGGGTCCCTACGTGTATTCTACAGGTGGGTGTCGTGCAAGCAGCAAGCAGTGCGGAGGTGGGTGTGAAGAAGCTGCTAGCAGAGCTGTTTGTAACAGCCATTCCTACTGCAGCATCCAGAGTACCACTTGAGTCGGGGCGTAGTGAGCCATAAACAAGTGGACCGATCACCGAATTGTGGCTTTGCAAATGTCCTGCAATGGGATATCTGATAAGGATGCCATGGAGGCTGCTTGTGTTTGCATGGTGTGAGCTGTAACACCCTCAGGAGGGGAACGTTTGCTATCTCATAGTAGTCAATACTCATCCTGAGACCCACTTAGAAATTCTCTGTGAGGCTATAGCTTGGCCCTTTGACCTTTTCACTATGGCGACAAAGAGCCTCAGAGATTTTCTAATGGGTTTGATTCTCTGCAGGTAGAAGACTGGGTCGCATCTGATGTCGAAGGAGTGCAGTTTCCTGTCCCCAGGAGAAGAATGAGGTTTTGGAAAAAATACAGGTAAGTGAATTGATTGGTTGATATGGAATTCGGAAACAATTCTGGGGCGGAATTTGGGGTGTAGCTGGAGGGAGACGCTCTCTTTATGGAATACTGTGTAACAGTGATTTCCCTACTCCCCCCCCCCCGTGAATTTCCCCAACCTCCCCCCCCCAGGTTTGTGAACTAGTTACATGCCAATTTAGTGACTGTTTGGAAATTTGAATTGAAATTGAAACATTAATACACACTTTAAAACCATATACAGTGTATGATAAAATATGTGTATCTGAAAAAGTATAATAGATTTGAAAAGTATGAACATAGTCTAGCTTCCTTATACAGCTGTTGTTTTTTATGACAATGTCAATGCATTCATTTCGGTGATGTTGGCCAACCTAATAATTTCAAATGATGATTTGTAAGCAAAGTCTAAATGAGCTCTCCCTGACAGCTAGTGATGAGCTGGGGCTGGGGGGAAAGGCTTCAGGACCAGATTGTATTCACATTCACACCTAATCTACCTAGGTATCCAGCAAACAGAGCTGTGTTGCCCAAGTGATAGATTTTGGCTGGGTTTGGGTTACAAATCACTTGAATGCGGGAGGGAGGGGGAATAAAATGTTGTTGTTCTCATTGTATGAGTAAAGGGCAGTAGAACTGTACTTAGCCTGTGCTGATTGAGGGCATCAAGAGAGAGGATGGGGACCTGTCCCTCTCCACTGTTTAAAGACTGAGCTGATTAGGCTCCATAGATAGTCTTTTGTTCTGTTAAGTGACCACTGCAGCTGAAATCACTGATAATCAGGTCTAAGTGCTTAGTCCTGCTGTGGGGACAGTGTTTCTGTGGAAGAGACAGCCCTGACTGCACTAGCAGCGAGGTTCCTCCACTGAGAGCTCAGCTGAAATCACTGAGAGCTGGGTGGAACCTCAAGAGATCAACTCGCAGAGGTCACAGTGGCAGCAGAAGGTGACTGCGCAGGGCCATTGGCAACAGAGTGGTGGAGTGAACGATGGCACAACAAACAGCAGTGGCCAGAGCGAACAGTGAGCAGCTGGAGGAACGAGCAAGGTGCCTTCTTGCCCCCACCTGGGAGGTGTACTCACGTGAAAGCACCTCTGAACTCTGAGTCTCCACCGACCAAGAACAACACCGGTGAGTGGGGTGCGGTGGAGGGAAAAGTGAGGGACACATTAAATAAACATCTGTTTGTTGGACCATATTTTAGTGACTTTGCTCCAGAATACTAGATTTGTGACTGGGAATGGAAACTTATATAAATATGTTTCCTAGTAGGCCAAGATTTTTAAAATGCATTATTTGCCAAGGTTGTTATCTCACATCGTTGCTATCTTGAGAGGTCATTATGTTGGGGAGTTTCTGTACTAAACATTTTTATTATTATAATTAATTTTTACATAAGAATGGTCATACTGGGTCAGACCAATGGTCCATATAGCCCAGTATCCTGTCTTCCGACAGTGATCAAGGCCAGGTGCTTCAGAGGGAATGAACATAACAGGGAATCATCAAGTGATCCATCCCCTGTTGCCCATTCCCAACTTCTGGCAAACAGGCTAGGGACACTCAGAGCATAGTGTTGCATCCCTCCCCATCCTGGCTACTAGCCACTGATGGACCTATTCTCCAGGAATTTATCTAGTTCTTTTTTTAATCCTGTTATAGTTTTGGTCTTCACAGCATCCCCTGGCAAAGAGTTCCACAGGTTGACTGTATGTTGTGGGAAGAAGTACTTCCTTTTGTTTTTTTAAAACCTGCTGCCTATTAATTTCATTGGGTGACTGCTAGTTCTTGGGTTATGTGAAGGATTAAATAACATTTCTTTATTCACTTTCTTCACACCAGTCAAGATTTTATAGACCTCTATCATATCCCCCCTTAGTCGTCTCTTTTCTAAGCTGAAAATTCCCAGTCATTTTAATCTCTCCTCCTGTTTCATACCCCCTGATCATTTTAGTTGCCCATCTCTGTACCTTTTCCAATTCCAATATATCTTTTTTGGGATGGGGTGACCAGATCTGCACCCAGAATTCAAGGTGTGCATGTATTATGGAATTATAGAGAGGCAATATGATATTTTCTGGCTTATTATCTATTCCTTTCTTAATGATTCCCAACATTCTGTTTGCTTTTTTGACTGCCGCTGCACATTGAGTGGATGTTTTCAGAGAACTATCCACAATGACTCCAAGATCTCTTTCTTGAGTATTAACAGCTAATTCAGACTCCATCATTCTGTATGTATAGTTGAGATTACTTTCCGATGTGCATTACTTTGCATTTATCAACATTGGGGAACAAAATGGCAGATGAAATTCAGTCACCCAGTTTTGTGAGATCCCTTTGTAACTCTTCGCAGTCTGCCTGGAACTTAACTATCTTGAATAGTTTTGTATCATCTGCAAATTTTGCCACCTCACTGTTTACCCATTTTTCCAGATCATTTATGAATATGTTGAACAGTAATGGTCTCAGTACCGAGCCGTCAGGGATACCACTATTTATCTCTCTCCATTCTGAAAATAGATAATTTATTCCTATCCTTTGTTTCCTATCTTTTAACCAATTACTGATCCATGAGAGGACTTCCCTCTTATCCCATGATGGCTTACTTTTCAAAAGTCAATTTAAATTAAATACATTTTTTTAATTTATATTTTTTTAGAAATCTAGACCAGTTATGTGTTTTGCTGTAACTTGCATAATCCTTATGTTAAATTTGCATTATCCTAACAAAACACTTACTTTATTCATATCTCTTTTATATGTTGCAGGTCAAAGTGAAAATGAAAAGACAAAAAACTAGACAACAATTTTTCCACTCAAAGGCCTCAAAAACTAACCAAGGTGAAAAACACATCAAGAACCAAGAATATATCAACATGTCATCTGAAGGTTCAAGTGGTATATCTACATCCGACCATCCCAAAGCACAAATACAGCTACCTACTGAAGAAACAGTGTCTCCAAAACCTAAAGGCAGTTTCCGATGTTTGTCGGTCAAAGTGTTCCCATTTATTGAAGTTACTAAAGATGGCTACTGGTGCACCTCTTGCAAAAAAGTTTACAAAGAAGAAAAGCTTCCCAATGCTATAACTGGTAAAAG